TGGGGGTGTGGGTCATGTCTTGGGATGCTAGGGTTTCTGGCCTGGGCAACTGGGAGGGTGTTTATGCCATTGTGAGAAGAGGGGAACAGTTTATTGTGATTGATCTAAACCTGATAGACTTTAATTAAAATGGATTGGTTGTAGAGTTCTCTACGGGAACAGGCTTTAGAATCAGGCAAAAGTAGGTATGTGTTGCCTGGTAATGCAACACACTAGCTATGAGCCATTGGGCAAATCATTTAACCTCACAGGGTTTCAGTTTCCTCATTTGCTAAAAGTGAAGATAATAATATGAGTTAATATATGTAAAGAGCACATGGTGAACAAACAATCGATGGTTAGCTTTTATAAAATATTTTATAATTAATAAATACTTTCTTCCTGGAACCTTTCAATGATGCATCTTATTAATTCTCATTATTTCCAAATGAAGTAGACAGGACCTTGTTTTTTTATTTCCTCAATTAAATGTAAGGAAAATGCAAGGAGACTGTGGTAGACAGAGGTTAAGAATCAGTGAATGCTTGCCTTAATGTCTCAAGAAAATAAAAATTATTTTCTAGCTCTGTCTGTCCATGCAGCTATAAAGTATTTTTAGTGCAGAGCTTTTGAAATTTTGATTAGAAAGGGAATGTAAATGTCTTAAAGCCCAGCAGTGTAGAAAATATACATTTCTTTCTTTCCAACAATTCATGGGAACAGCATGTACCAGTAATAAAACAGCCCTTTCTCTTCCCTAACAGATATTTTTTTCCCTCTAAAGGGCTACTAAAATCATTATGTTTTTTTCAATGCAGGACATCTTGTCCTTTTCCCGGAGGTTATAGTACTTGGTGCCTTTCATGATTTCAGACAGCAAACTGCTCCCTGAGTAGGCCTCTGTTTGTGCAGGACATTTTGTCTTTTCTAAAGCACAGTGTGCCCACCACAACAGGTTTATTTATGTGTACGTTATCAGAGTTACACAAGCAATGATTCTTACTTTTTTAAAAATATTTAAAATAAGTAGAGTTTAAAATAGAGTTGATTCTCTAAGCTCTTCCAATAGTGTCCATTTGTTTTTGTTTTGTTTTGTTGTTAAGTATCTATATGAACTCATGCTTTTCAATATATTTGGTGTATTTTACTCCACTGCAATTATTATCTTTTTTGATACTCAATTATTTTTTTTCTGGCCGGTGGTAGTCTCTTTAAGCCGGCTCTCAAATCCTTTTCATACAACCCTACTAGTTCACTGATTGCTTTTTTGCTATCTAGTTTAACAAGATATTCTAGGTTCATTTTGTGCATGTTCTGTCCCATATCTGGAATCAACCATTAGAAGAGAGGAAATTAAATGATCCATAGTGTTATTTAGAGGCAGAAATTCCAGCGATTGAAAGGTACTGTGGAAATCAAAGTTAATCCATTTTAGCTCATACATGGACTTTATACATGACTAGTGACGTAAACATTTGCCATTCAGCTCTGCTTCATATTTCAAATGTTGTGTTAATTATGCCTTTTGGTCACATAAGGTGATATTTTTACTTTTTTATTGTAGGCTTTGCCAATCAGTCAGATGATGATCAGGTGAATATAATGGGTTTTCGCTTCTTAGGAGGTTCCCGAGTTACTCTTCTTGCTTCCAAAACTTCTCGTAAGTAAAACCATATATTATTTATTTTTAAATTTTCTTCTGGTACCCTACATCACAGAGCATCCTCACGTCAATGATTCCTGCAAAGGGCAGTGTTCAGTTATATATAGAAAACTAAGAGCCATCTATTAACTATATAGGGTATAAAAATTATGAGGATAGGATTGTGTTTTTTTCGAGATGTGTAACTTTGGTGTTGGGGATGAGGGTAGTTTGAGAGAGGAATTTAAAGAACTGAAAAATATTTTTGAGATAGGTGTGTGGTGAAGTAGGTTGTGGATGTTCCTAAAAACTGGAATTGATTTTTTTGCATATATTCTTGTTTCCTCCTTTTGGTTATTAGCAAAGATGATGGTAAAAGCAAATGACTTTTGATGAGACTAATTTCAGTAGTCGGAAAGGTAGTAATTATATAATCGAGTTTGAATTTCAGATTTCAATATTCTTTTTGATTCGCTTGCTTCATATTTGTGAGAATAGTTCAAATTAGTCTATATAAAACTGACTTCTGATATATGTAGTATACTGAAGCTACTGAATTCACCAAGTTATGTACATCTTCATGGATATAAAGCAAGATATTAAGAAAGGAAGTGTTTAACAAATTTGTATTGAGGGAAAAGTGTGCATATGTATATACAAACACACACATTGAAATAGTCTGGCTGACTACATTGCAATTAAAAAAATCTCCAGTTTTTGCAGGGGGCTTTTACTTTGTACTTATGCATTTGTACTTGTAGTTGGCTATTACTTTTATATTAATAGTAATAAGTAGAGTAAAATAGGCTATCTTTTTATAAAAGAAAGGCATTAGCAGGAGGAACGTACATCCCATTGAGAAATTATAACAATGTTTCTATGGCTAAAATCATAACAGGTTCTTGAATATGTAGATTGGTAACTGGTGAAATAGAATAGGATACAACTAAAGACTCTAGAATAGGTCACAGAAATCAAAGACAATTCTGAGAAGAATGAGAAGATTCTGTACTTTTCAAGTTTATTGTAATTGGTCATGATTGCAGTCTTTTGTTCATTCGTACCATTTCAAAATTTTTTATTTTATTATGATAAGAACCCTTAATACAAGTTCTATCCCCTTAGCAAATTTTTAAGTGTACAATACAGTATTGTTAACTATAAGTACATGGCACTATTTTGCTTTAATCTCCAGTTGGATGATGGAATCGTTTTGGTGCATTTCTCTTAGTTTAACTATTTTCTTTAATAAAACTAAAAAAGTTGTTAACAACATTTCTTTGGGAAATTTTACACATCTGTTTGACTTCAGTTGATAGTCCTATATAATGAATCTGCAATTGAAACCATTAAAAAAGGCAAAAAGTTAGCATTTGTGCAAGTGAAGATATTTATATCCTAATGCATTATATCTATTCTGTTTTGTATAAAGTAACTCTTAGAACACTGATGTTGCTCATAATTACCTTATCATTATCTAAATTTTACCAAATATCCAGGTATATAACTGATTTATTCACTTTATCTGAATGTATGGCAATGATTTGACACAGCCATAGTGGTGGGTAGACAGACTAAATAATGGAATAGGACAGGAGTTTTTAAACCGGGAACCACATGAACTATATAAACTGAAACCTGAATAATAGTAATTACAATTTCCTGATGGTTTTTTGGCTTCAGTGCCACACAGAATCCTACCTTTGGTGCTGGAGGGAGATAGGTATGGAGAGAGTGTGGTTTTCTGGGTTTGAGAGGCAGATGTTGGTGTTCTCTACTGCTTTTTCAGAGTATTCACCCCCAAGAAAGGAATGAATTATTTGTACCCAACCTAAGTTTGGCATTTTTCTTTTTTATGAAAGGAATTAATTCTAGTCTAGCAATTTGGATAGGCTGGAAAATCCTATAAATGGAAAGAGCCTGCATTTCTTCCATGGTAAACAGTCAAATGATTCATAAGTCATATAGAATTGTCTTTGGCTCTCGGATAGTATTTTTCCTGGGTTCCATATATTCATGTCTTTTTAAAAACTTGCTTGATAATCAACCAAGGCTACAAGTGTGCTATATGGGAAGTTTTGTTCAATTTCCTGATTCGGTGTAGACCAGTCAAAGCAGAAGAAAAAAAGTGAGTGCAGCTATTGTCTCAGATACCAAATTACCGTGGGAAAACTGAATAGGTTTTTATTTTCAGAAGGTAGAGTAGTACTTAAATGTAGTTAAAATTTATTGTGTGAATTGTGAAAAAAATGAAGCATTTAAGATAAAAATATTTAGGAAGAACACACTAGCAAAATTTCTGAAAATTATTATCATAGTCCTAAATTGAAAATAACAGGATGGGTCAAATTTTATGAGATCAAATATTTTTATAATCAATATTATAAAATATTCTACATGGAGGTCTATAATTTGAGTGATTCCGAAATATGCTATTGCCTAAATATGCCTATATGCTTCCCATGGCACTATCCTAAGATTCAGGTCCACACAGTGACTAATTACCATATACAACAAACACTGCCACCTCTCTCTTCCTTCTCTCTCCTACCCCCCTTTTTCCTCTATACTTTTCTGGGTCTTGCCTATCTCTATTTTTATCTTTATTTCTTATCTCTATCTATTTGTGTATTGCCTTGTTCTACTTGTTTCTTAAAGAATTTAGAAGAGTTTTAAAAATATCCAAAATATGAAAGGAGAAAATAAGTAGTTGAAGTAAACAGGGAGAAAATAAGGGCAGGAAATTAATAAAGGCAAGAATAAGAATAATAAGAATAAAAAATGCAATGCATAGTATATGATTTATAAGGTGCTAGCAGCCTACAGTAACAAGAGAGCATTTAGTTCCAATATGCAGAATGTCCAAAATATATTAAATCAAATTAAATCAAATCATTTGTTAAGGAGATGCACAGTCTTTACTGATCCTAAGTTCAGGGTGAAATTTCTCTTATGAATATTCACAAAGATAATTCATTCAATAGTGTCTCTACAGTTCATATTTCATAATTATAATGATTATACTTTTGTAATTATAATTTATGAGTAACAAATTTCACAGAGCTTTAAAAACAAAGATAAAACTCAATTTTCTGAATATAATTCTACCTGAGCCCAAATCAGTACAGTTTAAGCTGTAGCTTGATCCAAGAATAAATTTTAAAGTATCTAGTCTTACAAGTTTTCATTATCTAGTGTTTCCAGTAAGGTGAACAATTAATGGGTTCAGTGAATCAAAAGTCTAGGTAAGTTTGAAGAAGTAAAGTAGTAGGAGTTATAGAGCAAGTGGACTAGATGAAATAAAGGTGGTGGTCACAGAATGGATTGGATGTTGATATCAAGAGTTTAGAGGGACTGCAGATTCTGATAATGACAAGCTCATCAGACAAGGTATAACGTTAGGGGCGTGGGTTGCTAAAATGGGGAGGAGACCAATGGAGAAAAGGATTTCAAGGAAACACACTATCACAGTTGTGAATATTGAAAAGGCCTATTTGTGTTGAGGTCCATACATTCCTTCTGTACCTCATTTGTTGAGAGTTTTTATCATGAAAGTGTGTTGAATTGTGTCAAATGCTTTATCTGCATCTATTGAAATGATCATATGGTTTTTGTCCTTCATTTTGTTAATGTGATGTATCATGTTTATTTATTTGTATATGTTAAATCATCTATGCATCCTGGAATGAATCATACTTGATCATGGCGAATGATCTTTTTAATGTGCTGTTGAATATGGTTTGCTAGTATTTTGTTGAGTATTTTTGCATGTATGTCCATCAGGGTTATTGGCCTGTAGTTTTCTTTTTTTGTTGTTTCCTTGTCTGATTTTGGTATCAGGGTAATGCTGGCCTTGTGGCATGAGTTGGGAAGTATTTCCTTCTCTTTGTTTTTTAAGAATAGTTTGAGTAGAATTGTTATTAGTTCTTTAAATGTGTGATAAAATTCAGCAGTGAAACCATCAAGTCGTTGGCTTTTCTTTGATGGGAGACTTTTTATTACCGAGTCAATTCAGTTGCTGGTTATATTGATCTGTCCAATCTTGGTAGGTTGTACATGTCTAGCAATTTATCCATTTCTTCCAGGTTATCAGATTTTTTGACATATAATTGTTCACAATAGTCTGTTATGATCCTTTCTATTTCTGCGATATCAGTTGTAATGTCTCTTTTTTCTTTTATGTGAGTCTTCTCTCTTTTTTCTTAGTCTACCTAAAGTTATGTTGATTTTCTTTGCATTTTCCAAAAACCAGCTCTTTTTTGTTGATATTTTGTATTGCTTTGATGCTTAGCACATGAATAACAAAAAGAAAAAAAAAACACACCCAGACACATCATTGTGAAATTTTAGAGCTTTAAGGATCAGAAGCGTAATCTTAAAGATTAGAAAGGAAAAAGCAATCTAATCAAGGAGTATGAATCAAGGTGGCATTTAACTTTTCATCAAAATCATTGGATGCTAAAGAACAATAGAGAAATTTTCTCCCAGATTGGAAGGGAATGATTTTTAATGTAGAATTCTGTATTCTGCTAAATTGATAATCAACAAAGAATGCTTATATTCTCAGGGCCACAAAGTAGGGCTAACGAATTGCTATACAGGTTGAGCAACCCAAATCCAAAAATCTGAAATTTGAAATGCTTTCAAATTCAAAATTTTTTGAATGCTGACATGATGCTCAAAGGAAAAGATCTAAATTTTAGATATTGAGATTTGGGATGCTCAGCCAGTATAAATATGAGTAAATAATGCATATGTTCCAAAATCCAAAAACATTTGAAATCTGAAAAACTTCTGGTCCCAAGCATTTTGGATAAGGGATACTCAATCTGTAGCACATTTGCATAGCCTAAGGTAGGTGTTTGAAAAATGGAAAAGATAACTAATACATTGTACATTTCAATATCTCAAAAGATTTTAACATGCTAGAAAGAGTGATTGAATTGAGTAAGGTCAAGTTTAAAAATCTTTTGCTTATCCATTTTGATTATTTTGTTTTCAGGTATAAAATAATTGTA